GCAACGAGGTCTGCGTATGTTGCAACGCGCAGGAATGAGAAAGATCAACTTTGCCGGAGGCGAACCGCTGCTGTACCCGCAGTTGCTGAGCAAGCTAGTTGCCTTCTGCAAGGAGGAGCTTCACTTGGAATCTGTGTCTATTGTGACGAATGGCAGCAAGCTGACAGAGCGGTTCATGGCTAAAGCTGCGAAACATATTGACATTATTGCTGTATCATGCGACTCGTTTGATGAGCAGGTCAACATCCAGATTGGCCGCGGCCAGGGCTCGCACCTGGCACAGGTGCAGGAAGTAGCGCGGCTATGCAAGAAATATAAGGTCAAATTCAAACTCAACACTGTCGTCAATCGGTACAATGTGCATGAAGATATGAACAAGCATATCCAGGCCCTCCAGCCATATCGATGGAAGTGTTTCCAAGTTCTCGTTATCGAGGGAGAGAATGACTCCAACTCGACCATCCGGGATGCTCGACGTTTTCAGATCTCAGACGAGGAATTTTGGCAGTTCTGTGATCGTCATTCCAACAATAAATGCATGGTTCCTGAGCCTAATAACATCATGAGGAGCTCATATCTTATTCTCGATGAGTATATGCGATTCCTGAATAAAGGCACCGGCGCCCCGACGGAATCTATCCTCGATGTTGGTGTCTCTCGCGCCCTGGCCAACGTCTACTGGGACCAGGACAGCTTCTATGAGCGCGGCGGGATCTATGACTGGACCAAGGATGTCGGCGAAGGATGTGGATCTGAGAAGAATCCGGCGCTGGAATTCTGAATCGTGAAGGAGGATTCTGAAGATATCATCGGTTAGGAGAAAATTCTGTATTGAATGGGGAAAATTCATTGTGATCAAGGACGACGACGTTATTATTTATGTACCTCGTTGTGTCCCTAGTTAAACTTGCTCATAGTGCTTGGTTAAATTTCTTCTTCATGGGACGAAGGTTGATAATAATATCCATGTTGACAACTACTGACCGAAAATTGCTCTCTAAAATGGAAGAATAATATTAATAATAACTTTAACAAAGGGATGTTGCACAGCTCGATCTACTCCTAAGGCCGCAATCGCGCTGCAGTCCAGCCAACCTGCAGAGGACCCGTGTGCTCTAACCTGGGCATTTCCTCCTTTGGGAGCACCACCAACATCTTTGTGCTCCTCTTGCTGCTGTTGGAGGGTCTTTGGGATATTATTTATGCCAGTCAGACCTAACGGGCTCCGGCTGGACTTGAGTGAGGCTGCAAGGTAGACCAGGCTATCTGTCTCATTGGCCTGCGCTTTTTCTTAATCTAGTCCTCTTAGGCCAATTGGCAGCAACCTCAGATCGCACTTGCTCAGCGAGTCTGCAGTATAAAGATTACCCTGCAATCCCAATGTGGAGGAGTGAATTAGCCAGCTCATAGTCTGAAGCTTCAAAGATTAATACACATTTCCTACATTCCTTGATTTGAGCCGGGGAGTTTAGGGGCGTTTTCTCAGGCCAGTGTCGAAGTTTATTCACAGCTGTCCCAAATGTACGAGCTGGAAAAGAGATTGAGAGAGGCTGATACAAACAGGTTCCAGCTTTACAGCGTGAGGCTGACAACAGCGACACGGATCGGACTGGTCTGCTTGCAGTTTCACTTAACAAGGCTGAGCCCCAGCCTGCATAGTAAGTTCCATCCAACCATCCCATGAACAGTCCAGCGATTCACTGTCTGTGCCCCTTAACAGGCTCCTATATATTAGTGCGTCTTCCACCTCCTCTTTCGTTCTCCCTGCTGATAAACTCGACCTATCTCCGCCAAGAGGTATTGAGGAACACTCCTTCGGCCCGTCCATATTTTTTTTCGTTCTTTCCACAAGGTGATTGGCTTGTCCAGATTCCATAGCCTGCTCAAGATTTCGTTGTCGAAGCTCCAAGGGGGACTTCATCAAGCTGTGTGGTTTCACCTTCCTCCTGTGGAAGCCATGCCGCCGGCATCATCGTCATTCTCCCTGTCGAAGCTTCTCCACCGCCGGAGAGGTCATGGCTCAAAGCACTCTGCGAAGCAAGGATCTGAGACCGATGAGGACCGGAATCCACCCAGGGTACGTCTGTTCGCTCATCCATTACGGCGACCTCTACAAAAAGCGAAGACTGCTCCCAGCCTCATTCCATTCAGGAACGCATGTCTCTGCCGGAACGACTTTGGAATCAAGCCTATGACAGCCTCAAGGCCGACGAAGCCAAATTGGTAAAGGCTTACGAGGATTTCTTGTTTGATAGATTTCGCAACGATGTTTCTTCTATTCCACAAACCCCAAAAGACAGGCAGTCGCAGATGTATGAGCTCATCCAGGACGGTCTGGGGAAGACGAAGAAGGAAGCGAAAATGAAACAGAAGACTGAGAATGTCGTGAAAATGGTGCTCGAAGCCAGGAAGAGCATCGACTTGGCAGTACAGGCCATGCCACAGGCTTCTCTGGCCTGGGCAGGGTTCTCTTTTGCTTTGCAGATAAGATTAATTGTTGTGGAAAGACTGCAGCTATATCAAATCCTGACGTGTCCAAGATATTTTTAAACTCCGCGACAGAGACAAGCGCCAACCGCGAAGGAATCAAACACGTCCTCTCTAGTGTGGATTGGTATTGGAAGTTGGCCGACTACCTTTTCAAGGAGGATAGAGTCGACGATACAAAACTGCTACACGAATTGGAGAAACAAATTGTTGAACTGTACCGAGCTCTCCTCTCATACCAAATTAAGAGCGTCTGCTCGTACTACCGCAACCGGGGAATCGTCTTCTTCCGTGATTTGTTCAAGCTTGATGATTGGAACAGTGATATTACATCGATCAAGAACGCAGAAGATGCTTTGAAGCAGAATATTGATATGTATACTAGGCTCCAAAACAGTACCAACAGCAAGAAGCTTGTCGACATTGTGCTGAGCCAGGAAGATAAGCAGTTCCCGCAAGACCTGTTTCTAACCAACCCAGAGGATGACATGACACTGATTGAAAACACCAAAGGCCAACTACTGCATGATTCATACGTCTGGATCCTTGATGAGCACAATTTTGTTGAGTGGAGAGATGGGAGCAAAACCAGATGCTTTGGATCCAAGGGAACCCAGGCAAGGGCAAGACAATGTTATTGATTGGCGTCATCAAGGAACTGAGGTCTAGCCTCATATCATTCTTTTTCTGCCAAGGTACTGATTCACGGCTTAACAACTCTACTGCAGTCTTAAGAGGTCTGATCTATCAACTGGTGCAGCAAGAGGGGTCTCTGATCTCGCATCTCCGCAAGGAGTATGACAGCGGAGGGTCATCGCGCTTTAAGGATGCTAATGCATTTATTGTCCTATCAAGAATCCTCACCAACATGCTTGACGACCTCAACGACAGAACAGTATATCTGATTGTTGATGCTCTAGACGAGTGTCAGGACACCAAAATGTCGCCACTCCTGCGTCTAATCCGCGAGAACACTTCTAGGTCGTCGTCTCTGGTCAAATGGCTTGTGTCGAGTCGTCACGATGAGCATATCAAGGAGCAACTAACAGTCGGAGAAGGCCAGTTAGACCTGGACTTGAACGCGCAAGATCAGATCAACAGAGCTGTGAATGTGTACATTGAGCACAAAGTTTCTGATCTGACCAAGTTGCGCAATCACAGCAGCGAGGTGCAGAAGGAAGTAAAGAATTATATCATTGCAAATGCAGAGGGGACATTTCTGTGGGCGGCTTTAGTCTGCGAACAGCTAGCAGACCCATACAATCGCCCTAAAACACCACTATCAGTGGTTAAATCGTTCCCACGTGGACTCGACAGACTTTATAAAAAGATGTTGGAACAAATTCAAGCTCGGAATGAAGGCGATCTCGAGGTCTGCAAAGCGATACTTGCATCGATCACCCTTGTCTATCGACCCATTCACCTGAGCGAGCTCACCTCTATCATTGACCTTCCGGAAGATTTCTCCGATGATACAGATTCGTTAGGTTACCTCGTCAGGCGTTGTGGCTCATTTCTGACCATTCGCCAAGATGTCATCTATTTTGTGCATCAGTCCGCAAAAGATTTCCTCAATGAGAATCCTGAGATTTTTCCTAATGGATCATCCCAAGAGCAGAGAGCGATGGTGTTGCGATTATTAGATAGAATGTCACACACATTAAAAAAGGATATATACAACCTTCAGGAACCAGGATACTCCATCAAGGACGTGGTGTCGCCTGATCCAGATCCACTTGATCAGATTCGATATGCCTGTCTCTATTGGGTCGACCACCTATGCAAGGTTGATCAGAGTCTGTATGGGCATGTTGGACTCTGTGACAATGGTTCGATTCATGAATTTCTAAGACAGCACTTCCTTCACTGGCTGGAAGCTCTCAGTCTCCTTAGAAGCTTACTGAACGCAGTTCTTATGATCAAAAAGCTGGAGAATTTACTTGCTGTAAGTTTTGGCTCTTCAAGCAACCACAACTTAGGTATTATATGAGCTAAGTGCATCAACAAAAATTCGAACAACGCCACAGACCTTCTCTCCATCATACAAGATGCAACCCGATTTGTTCCTTATAACAAATACATCATCGAAACCACTCCTCTCCAGGTCTATGTGTCAGCTATTGTCTTCAGTCCTACCAAGAGCAAGATTAGAGCACTGTTCGAAAAACAAATACCATCATGGATTCGTGTATGTCCATCGGTAGAGGAGGATTGGAGCCCGTGCTTGCACACTCTCCATGGCCATACTGAGCCAGTCCTCTCAGTATCTTTCTCTCCTAATGGAAAGAAGGTTGTTTCTGGATCAAGTGACAACACGCTTCGGATTTGGGACTCTGAAACAGGAGCAACATTGCATATACTAGTGGGCCATACTGTGGCAGTCAGTTCAGTATCATTCTCTCCTGACGGCCAGCAGATTGCATCTGGGTCATATGACAATACAATACGATAGTGGGACGCTGAAACAGGAGCGCTCCTGCGTATTCTAACCGGCCATACTAATATAGTCCTCTCAGTATCATTCTCTCCAAATGGGCGGCAGCTTGTGTCTGGATGCTATGACAAAACCGTACGGATCTGGGACGCTGAAACTGGAATGCCATTGCACATACTAAAGGGCCATAGAGATTGCGTCAACTCAGTGTCATTCTCTCCTGATGGACGGCAGGTCGTATCTACTGGTGATGCGTATGGTGGAGAAGTTCGGATTTGGGAGATCAGCACAGGAATATTACGCCATACCTTAAGAATTAATGATTACAGAGACATGGCCATGTCAGCATCATTCTCACCTGATGGACGGCTGGTAGCAGCTGGTATGATAAATAATCACATTCAGATCTGGACAGTGGAAACAGGCACGCTTCAACAGACGCTCGAGGTCTACTCGGCTTCCTCAATATCATTTTCTCCCGATTGGCGTCAGGTAGTTGCATTCGAACGGGACGAAGAGACAATACAGATTTTAAATGCTCGGACCGGGGAAGTGCAGCAGAAGCTTGCAGGACATTCTGCCGCTATTCTCTCAGTGTCAGGACGGCGAGTAGTGTCTGGTTCAGCAGACAATACAGTACGGATCTGGGATGCTAGGTCAAGAGGAGCACTGCCACATATATCAGGATTACACCCAAAAAATAGGTCCTCCTTGTTATCCTTCTCCGCAGATGGCCGATTGTTAGCGTCTGCTTTAGGTGGTGTGACAATACAGATCTGGCACACAGAAACAGGGGCAATACAGCAAACACTAACCAGTAAGGAACACACTGTTATGTCAGTGACATTTTCCCCTAGTGGACGGCAGCTCGCTGCTGGTTTATTTGACTATACAGAACATATCTGGGATCTTGAGACGGGGATGCTGAGACTAAAACTCGGGGAAAATACAAAGATGTTTTATCCCCTGAGTTGGGGAGTAATGGCCTTTTCTCCTGATGGAAAGCGGTTGGCGGCCGACTCAGTGGATAAAGCAGTACGGATTTGGGATCTGCAGGCGGGAATGCTGCAGCAGACACTAACAGATCTTTCTGATTATGCTCTCTTCGTGTCGTTCTCTCGTGATGGACGATGTATGGCGGCTGGTAACGAATTGGTCTACATCTGGGATGCTGAGACAGGGATGCTTCGGCAAACACTCAACGCCAAAGATGAGATCGATTCATTCCTAACATTCGATGATCAGATAAAAAATGATCGGTTAATTTTCTCCCAGAGGAGAACCAATCTATTGACATTCTCTCACGATGGGCGGTTGATGGCATCGAGTTCACTTCCAAATCACGAGGTTAAGATCTGGGATGCCAAGACAGGAGGGCTGCAATATACGCTCACAAAAGGCCCTAAATTCTCGAAATTGTCATTCAGCCACGATGATTCCCGTCTTGTGACGAATTTTGGTTGCATTGCCTTCGATTCTTTACTTGCCAGCCAAAGAGTGAAATGGGTGGGATACCACCTAGATACCAACAGGGAATGGATTGTTCGGGACGACAAAAGAATCCTTTGGCTCCCTTCAGAGTATCAACCGGTCTCCCCGGAGGTCGCAAACGAGAATTTTGTGATGGAATCTAAAACAGGCCGCCTTCTCCTGATCCGATTCGATCCGAACATTCCTCACCTTGTTAACGATGACTGAGTGGCGATGACTGCATAGAGCCTTATAATGAGATGCGGAGGATTGTCAAACAAACTGGGGCACAAAAGAAACACCTAGGTTATCTAGTGAACCCCTAGTATGATTGATAGCTGCCGGTTGACAAGGATTAATATCAGTAAGGGGTGACGCACCAGAGGGGCAGACCATGAAATGAGCAGATTCTTCTTTTCCATGCGTTTGAACATGGTACACGTCAATACAGGTCCATGCTTCCAAAGCATCTTCTCTAACTTGAGGTATGCAGTGGCATATGAGAATATTGGTTTATGTAAATATTTTTGTGAGGGCGATGATTAGAAACGATGAACAGAACAGACATGAGCGAAGAAAGAAGCAAACCATTGCAAGTATGAGCTTTAAAAAACCACAGCGGACGTTCGGTAACACAAATCATTTACACTCTTACCTGTTCTTCGCCGTCCAGGAAGATTTAATTTGTGTCGGATGGCAACCTTCCAAAATGAAGGCAGGCACCATAGAAGGTTCACAGTCGTGAACTTGCAGACATCAAAGCATACGATTGCTCTAGCTGATATCTGTATTGTGACAGTGGACTTCTTCCTGTAGCTTGGGAGTGGTGATACTGAATTGCTGTCGTTTGAACCAAAACAGCTCAAAATATCAAACTTGGAGTTCCGTATTAATGCCCAAGCGAAGTCAAAATGATCCATTTTGCGCCACTGAGATTCCTTCAATTGTCGCGCTCCAAGCGCGGTAGACCCTCGTAAAGGCCGATAAGGCCTCAGCCATAATCCTTTTTTTTTAGAGAAGAGAAATTATCATATCCATTATGTTTTCCACTGAGATATTTGGTAGCGCTCTGCACGATGCTCAACGGCAGGCTATGGTAATCTGTCATTAGTCATTCTCCCAGCTCCCAGACTTCCAAAAGGTTGTCTGTGCACCTGGAGTACCAATAGTACGCTACATCTTCTCGAAGCGGCCCATCCTATCCTGACCAGCGACTTTTTTTTTCTTGGTCGTTTGAATCGCCTGTGACGAGTTTGGGAGAGATAAGGAGATAAGCTTATCGATAAGGCGCGTTACAGAACCTGCCAAGAAATCCCAAAACTTTTTTCCAACACCAAAAAAGCGCCCATGGGCCCGTAATCTCTGCAGACCACTCACCCCCCAGAGCACGAGAGCAGCCACGATGCTCCGAGAAGTGTAAGTGTGAGACATACAGACGCCATTCCATCCGCAGAAATAGTCGAAGGTTGAATGCGAAGTTGACTCCTGTGCAGCAAACCGAAAAATGCCCGAACGGCCCGCATCCTCAAGAAGCGGGAGCCTCAGCTCATCGAGCCGCCGAAGCGCACACTCCTGCTGCACGGCACAAGGTGCCCGATGCCACTGAACACCGTCCTCAAGACCTTCCACTGCCTGACAAACCCGCATTCGGTGTTGTTCAACAGGAAGAACGAGAACATCCACCCGTTCGAGAGCACGGAGAGCCTCGAGTTCCTGGCCAACAAGAATGAGTGCGGCATCGTCGTGTTCGGCAGCAGCAACAAGAAGCGGCCCAACTGCGTGACGCTGGCCCGGATCTACAACTCCAAGGTGCTGGAGATGGTCGAATTGCTTCTTCTCCCCCAGCCGGGAGACGAATCGCTCACACCGACCAATGCGCTGAAGATGCACATTGGGATCGGGCTGCGGCCCATGATCCTCTTCGCCGGCAGCGTCTGGGCGGACGAGACGTCGACGACGTTCGCGATGATCAAGAGCATCCTCCTGGACATGTTCAAGGGCGAGGAGACCAACAAGCTGGACGTCGAAGGGTTGCAGTACCTGATGATGGTCGGAGCGGAGGAACCCGCGGGCCAGGGTATGCTGCCGGTGATCCACATGCGATGGTACAAGATCCGCACGCGGCGGAGCGGCCACAAGCTGCCGCGTGTCGAGCTCGACGAGATTGGCCCCAAATTTGACTTCAAGGTCGGCCGCGTCCGCCCGGCGGATCCGGACGTCATGAAGGAAGCCATGAAGCAGGGCAAGCGGCCCAACGAGGAGCCCAAGACGAAGAAGAACATTGAAATGGACCCGATCGGTGACAAGATCGGCCGCGTCCATCTCGGCAAGCAGGATCTGAGCAAGCTGCAGACGAGGAAGATGAAGGGTCTCAAGAGGCGCGCGGGCATCGATTCGGATGACGAGGGAGGTTCGGACGTGGATATGATGGATGTCGATGAGATTTCGGAAGGTGAAGGCAAAAAGAAGAAGGCTAGAACAAGCTGAAAAGGCCGATGATGCAGTGCGTGGTTGTTTCGATGTTGTGTTCTGTACGGCGTTGAGGGTGGTATCGGTTGGTTTTCTTTTCTCTTTCAGCTACGATGATTACGTTGGTACTATTAGTCAAAACGTTTGGACATATTCCTTATATTGTTATTCCGCATTCAATCTAGCAAATGGCTTTTTCGCCCTGACGCCCTTCTGACAACACCTTTCGCCATTTTATATCCCGAAATATTCTCGCAGAGAAAGAATTTATTCAGATCTGTATAGACACACGAAACAAAGAAGATACAAGAAGCATAAAGAAGATACAAGAAGCAATTCTCCCAACTCCTATCCCAGTGATGACCACCTGCCTGCTAGATGATAAATATTGGCGAATGAAGCCATCTGCTGTATGTTGCTGCCTGAGGCAGAATACGGAAGCTCGTCACGTGGGGCCGGTGACGTCGGTGCCGGGCCGGGGAAACCATCACATGCCGAGGATCGCCTGCATCGCTCGGTGGGATGGAACGAGCTTTCCCGATTTATTTCGCCCGACAAGCCATCGCCATGTCCTGACAGAGACTTGATTCCTCTTCTTCGTCTTCCTGCGACTCGATTGGCGCTGGTCGACACTGGACTTTTGCAACACATGATCTCGACGCGACAGCGCTGATCGCTACAAGTCTGCCTGCGAGTAGACTGCAGCCGAGGTCTGGCTGCGAACGGACGCAATGGCTTCGATCATGGTAAATGCTGTCGCATACAGACCTTCCAAGGCTGCCGCTGATTCTGGAGCAGGACAAACTGGATGCGCTTGTCCTGAACCCCGATCTCGCACCGCTCTTTAAACTCGTCAAAGCTGCCCGCAATGGCGCCGTCTACGGTGCCAAAGTCCGGTTTCCGCACGCTCTGGTGTAAGCAGTCTCAAACGAATGGTCATGATGCGAAGTGCGCAGGTTGGAATACTGATGAAGGTTTTCTTGTGCAGAATGATCTTCCTCTTTCGATCCGGAACGTGAGTACTGTTCCCTGTCCTGTCCGTTGGAGATGATACGCTAACACAACGTTGTATTCTAGCTTCCGCGAGAAGATCAAACTCGTCCTCAAGGCCACTCGACAGCACGCTCGTAACCTTGCGACATTCGCCGTGATCTACAAGAGCACGTTATTTGCCCTGAAATACCTGAATCCAGCGGGCAGTGGAAAAGAGGGCCGGTATGATACCTTTGTCGCGGGATTGCTGGGTGGATATATCGTGTTCGGACGCAATCCTGGCAGTATCAGCCAGCAGGTATGTTCCTGAATATCTACTCTGCCGGCTCAGTTGTCTGTGTTGGATGGAGACTGATGGATCGATTGGCAGATCGTCATCTATGTCTTTGCTCGAGTGATGCTGGCTCTTGCCAAGATGGCAATCCAGCCCAATATGCACCCGCTCTCGTCGCTGATCACCCCAGAAGTCCGGACGAAAATTAGCGAAAATGCATGGCCCGTCTTCGCCAGTCTCACCTGGGCCTTGGTCATGTACATTTTCCGCTGGTACCCTGAGAGCATTGTATCGAGTCTAAGAAGCAGCATGACCTACATGTAAGCGGCGATTCTTTTCTCTGCTGATGGCGTAATGTCATAGCTAATTCGTCCTTCTACCAGATACGTTGACTCTGACCATTGGAACTCTTTCCACAACTTGTTGATATTCAACAAATGAGCGCTAGCATAGAGGCTTTCTGTTGGTGCCGGGTGTTTAGAGGCGCATCATGAAGTCGACTGGGATTTCCATTTCTCCTTTTCTTATTCTTAGTTTCACGCTGTATATCTTTAACGAATTAGCGGTGGGAACTTGTCCTGCATGTGGTCTTTTTTTATCATTAGGTCATTGGATCCTGAGCTGGTCTCCTAGAGAATGGATCTGAGCATCCATGGATATGTAACTAGACCGATACAATTAACCGTTTTGCCATACACATCAAACTTTCACCTAGCTATCCGACGAACCGTCGCCGTGTCTACAGTCCAGAAAAGACTCTACCATTCCACAACTGCGTCAGCAATGCCACTTTAAATTCCACACGTCGGACATTGACCTGATGGCCTCGCTTTCGAAAAAGGTCATGTAGCGACGTGTTGATCTTGTAGCCCACGATCTTCGCAGATCGACTGGACGATTGTGACTGCTATCCCGCGGACTGAATTCCAAATTCTGGAGCATCCTGGAAACGAATCCCCAGAACGCGAGCAACGCGTCGGGAGAGTGGATGATGCCGAGACGGAAACGGGCGATCTTGTCCAGGGAGGGCATCGAGGAGTACGACAGGCTTCTTCTGAAGACTGACTTGCGGTGGACTGGATATGAAAGAAAATAACCAAGTTGACCACTGCTGCTGATGTTTCGTTTTGCTTGTACTCTTTCCTGTACGATATTAATGTTCATCACATGACCAATTGGCGTCGATCAGGAGTCGATATTTGCAGAGCATCCACCATACTTGCTGCCAACGAACTCTGCACATAGTCTCTGGCGCACAGAGCCATGCGATTCTAGCTATAATAACACTGATGGAGGATTTAAAACCCTGACATCTTGTCGAGGTATTCCACTGTAAAGTATATCAACGAGACAGTATATACACAGCAAACAATGATCACAGCGTGGGGCACGATTTTGCTGGCGCGGCATATAATAGCTCCCTACATTCATGTATGTATTCCTCCATTTATCATAATACATTTCACTTAACTATGGTAAGCATCCGTTAGAAGTTAATAGGAATAGCGATGTTACTTGGAGAGAATCCGTAAGGTGGGTCACGGTGCCCACCACTATTACCACTTACGGAAAAGAAAAAGGTGTGAACGCGTCCAGACGCGACGGTCGAATTCCCGCGAATCTGAGCATTCTCTTCCTTGAGTACTCTGTATGTTTCCTCTGATTCTCGGTCTCTCGCCTTGTCACTACGGCCTTGTATAGAACTGTCCGGTCTGAGCATTTGGTCGAATTGCGCACGGTCAATACCGGTCTTGAATCAAGCACATCGACGACGCGACGCGATACTTGTACCCACCAGTCCACGCCGCTTGATCAGTTTTCTCAACTGGGACCTGTCTAAGAGCCTTTCCTTTCGTTCACCTTCACTGCGGGTGTGAAGGATATCGTCAAATTTGGCTTTGCTTGGCTTGGCGCAAAAAAAAAAATGGATTCGGACCCGGACTGGTGCTGGGATGCGATGGCAGAGGATATCATGTTGGGATGGTCACAGAAGCGCGATATAATAAAATGGGTGTATGACAAGCTCCCCAGATATAGACAGCAAAACATGACAAGCCAGAAGTTCTGGAAGGACTGCTCTGACTACATATGTGAACACCTCGATTGGTACATCGAGAGACCGGATCATTTGGTCGCCCTGTGGGAAAGAATACGACTGCGTATCAAGTGGCCTCTGCACGGGTGTGACACTCCAGGTTTAAGCCAATGGGCAGATTACATGGAGTGGTGGATCTATCTGCCCGAGGATCAGAAGCGCCTTCGAGACGAGCCTGTGCCAAAGGTCTCTGCGCTGGATAGATTGCTTTCTTCAATGACACAGCGGGCCTGGGACAGAGCTGAGAAGAACAATGCGGCGTGCAAGAGGAAACGCCCGGATGAGGATGACACCACATCGAAGCTGCTTCCGAGCAAGAAACAGCGGACGGAAGAAAAGGACGACAAGGAGGACAGCGGACCAAAGGAAACGGTGGTGCAGAAGCTTGACAAACTGAACAGCGGCCTTGCAGAAGCGACGGAGATCTTCAAGGCGCAGATGACGACGCTGACAACTTCTGCCACCGAACCCGTGCGTGCAATGTGCGAGTCGATGGCTCAGCTTGTATCGAGACAGGAACTCCTCCAGTCATCGTTAAAGGAAATGGACTCGTATATCGCTCGACTTACAGAAGAACAAGCCAGTCTACACGCCACCATTACCCATGTTGGGGTCCAGATGCGTGAGATAGGATCCCAAATGAGCAGGACCATGGAGATGCTGAAAGAAGTCAAGGCGAAGGAGCTGAATTCGTAACGTTCAGCAGACGTTTATAAATACAGACGATTCGGAATTTTTGGAGGTGGAAGATAATTAATCATTTTCAGTATATATGTACTGCACAGTAGTTAGACGATGAGACTAATATACCCCTTTGTTCTTTTCGACGTTCTTTGCTTCTGTCAATGAAATATAATGTCATTATAAACAGCTACATGCATATAGGTGTACTTATACGTTTCCATCTTGTACTGTCTACTAGTGAGCTTTGATAAGTTCTATTCATGTTCAACTTTATTATTGCACACTAAGATTGGCTGCATCAGGATCATTTAAAAATTCTTAAGCTTAATGCGATTTATTCACTTTCAATACGGACTAAGTAACACAACCCTCCAAAATGAAAAACATCGACCGTTTGGGGAAGCCAAATTGGGAATGACGGCAATTCTTTAAGAGAATAAAAGGAATAAAAATTTCCGGGACTCTTGGTCAATCATCGTACGACGTGACGAGGAGACTGAAAAGGAAATTCTCCTGGGCAGCCTCGCTAGCGCGTTTGTTGCCTTTTTGATATTCCTGACACACGACTCTGTACGTTTCAGAATCCAACAGCCCCTGTCGCAGAAATGATGTATCCACTATCCGCGGTGACCCAGATTCCTTTTTCTTTCTCCAGCACGGACCAAGAGCTTCTCCGCATAATTATTTTGTACTTTATACTGGAATCTGCCTGCTTAAAACACTCCGCGTCGGACCGATGTAGCGACCTCCCCTCCACTTCCTTTCTTTGGATCCATGAGACAATAATGGACATGGAGCCATCCGCTTTTTGAGACCGTTTGGGAGGCTATTCTCGGTTTAAGCTGTAGAAGATCTCAATCTGCTTTTTGTATCGACGGTGATCGTCCTGTCCCGAATCAGTTCGAGAGCGAAGTGCAGACATGCTCTGATCCAGCAGTGTCTTACCCGAGCTCAATGTGGCTGTTTGCCATGCCCCGGATCCTTATTGAGCCGTCCCAGCCGCTGTTGACCCTGCTGATCAAGGCTAATTCTGGACTTCCATTGTATCAGATGATTCCGCTGACACAGGACACCATTCCGCGTTCGAGATTGTCAAGGTAGGCAGCGGCATGCATATAAAAGAGAAGTCGAATCCATGCCGCTCTGCAATTGCTGGGTCATTCTCTATTCAAGTCGGTTCCTGGTGAAGACCTCCATTCTTTAATTCTTTCCATTACTGTTGCCATTCTTTCTTTCTCTTCTCTTGTTCTCCGTGATCTGCTGGTTAGATCACGACATCCACATTTTCTTGAAAATGCATTTCTCCAAAGTCGCCGGGGTTGTTGCCCTTGGTCTCCTGAGCAGCCTGTCTTTCGTCAGGGCTGGGACAGACCTTGACACGAAGAGTCTTCGTGGTCGTTTTGTGGTATGCTCTGCATATTCTTGCTTCTACTTCGTCTAGAAACTGACAACTTCACAGGGTAGCGGGGCCAATATCGCGGCTGCTCACGTCAACGCAGTAGAGAGACGCGATCCCCAGCTTGATAGTCGGAGCCCCTTTGCTGCTGCATTGACCTTTGAAGTCCGAGAGCACAACGCGGGCGAGGAAAAGAAGGCCAAAAACGAAAATGAGAAGAAGAAGGGTGCTGCTGGTGCAACAAGCGCAGCTGGCAACAGTACCACAACTGCTACAGGGAACAAGGACAAGAAAAAGGGAGAGAAGGCCAAAGATGCCCACGGAAAGAAGAAGGGTGCAGGAGCAGGCGCTGCTGCTGCGGCCGGCAATAGCACCGCCGCTGCTACAACGAACCCGGACGCTGGCTCTGTCTCGTCGCTGAACGGCGCCGCCAAGGGAAAGAAGGGCAAAGCTGGCGGCAATACCACCTCCGCAGCAGCCGATGCTGGGACGTCAAGCAGCGCAGCGTCTGGAAATGTCAATGCCAATGCGAATGGAAACGGCAATGGTAACGGCAATGCGGCATCGAACAGTGCAGGCGCCTCGGACCTGCTGGGATCTCTCCTCGGTGCGTTGGGGAATGATTTAGGACTCCGCGATGTCGACGAGTCTGCTTTACCGGTAGACGCTCTACCCGTCAAGCGCGCCGAAGAAGCGAAGGAAGAGGCAAAAGCAGCCAAGGGCAAGGTCACTGTCAAGGGCAAAAATGGAAAGAATGGAAAGAACCATGGACAATAACAACAATGCTGGCGCTGCTGCTGCGGTGCAGCAGCTGGTGCCGCAGCTGGTGCCACTGGTGCTGGTGCTGGTGTTGGCAGTGCTGCAGGGAACAGTACCGCAAGCACGACGACGAACTAGACACAGCTCTGCACTTGGCCAGGGCGAGAGAGATTGAGTAGTGGAGTTCCAGCCTCGGGACGATGTAAAACAAGATAGATAGCAAGATTGTGAATGGAGGAGAATGCATGTTTGATGGATGTATTAGAAACATTTTAGCTCGGAGACATCGGTTCAAGGTAATACAATACCGGTAAACATCATGTGCCTCACTAAAGTCGTTCTCTTTGTCTTTCTTTCTTTCTTTTTTTTTTTTGTTTCTTCTGTTTCTCCAAAAAAGAATTATCTCGGCGATAGGGCCGAGTCATCCAGTAGACGAAGGAGATGACGCTGTAGAAAGACCTATATTGGTAGGTCTCCAGGAGTTTAGGGAGTTGTCAACGTCCCTGAAATTCTAGTTGAAGGCATTTTCCACACTGCTGAGGATCTTTATCTGGGCAGAACCAGTGTGTCATAACGGCAGGGAATGGTACAGGGTAAATGTTGCAGAAGCCATTGATAATCACCGCGTCTTTTCGGCCACTGTGTCTTCGTTCAAGTCATCACTCGTGCACATATAATTCATACAATCGAGCAAGCTTTCCCCGCTTTCTTCATTATCGCTTCGATACAAGGAGATCCACTAACGACCAGAAATATACCTTCAGCAAGAGAAAAGATGCGCCTGCACTGAGCCTGCATTATATTATGCAGAGAGACTCACGCATTGAACTTGGTGATCACAATTCATGATATCAATTTCTTGTGGAAGAAGCCGCAATGGTCTTGGTGAAAGGAAGACACCGTGACCACAGAAGCAGGAGGAACGGTCGATTTGACGACGAGCCATGGTCGATCATATTAAACCATCAGTAACAGACGAGAGTTGACAGGACAACGAGTCGAGTGAAAGCCAACAACAACACTAATCAAAGGAGTAAAAAAAAAAGGTACAACGTTGAGGTTAATACTCGTTCCGTGCTTGGTTTCTTCGCTGTCTTATAAGGTAAATGTTGGTAGATCGATATACGTACGGTACATTCTAGACCCCATTCTGCAATAACTTTCTCAATCTACAGTTCGAAACATGCAATAATTTCGTATTTTGCCTGCATTATCAGTCTTCAAGGCGCTAAAAGTAGATTGGAGATATGAAATTGGGTATCCCAATCACTTCCTCAGTAAGAAAGGGTTAGGGATAATGATCGCTGCGGGTGTCTGAGACCCCAGAGGATATGCTTCTAGAGTACCTTTTTTTTTGACATACCTGCAGCAAAGGAGACAGAAGAAAATACGCAATAAGGTCGCCGATTGGGCGGAGTATAACACCATGATATCAAACCTGGGGTGACAGAGCACGCTGCTGAATTTGTCACAACCGGTCTTCTCAGCCAGGTCAGATGAGTAACCCGGACACGGCGACTTGAAGAACAGATCGAGTGGCGACACAGGATATACAAAATCAAAGCAGACTGCAGGCTGGTACGAGAACTAACCGGCAGATATATCGAAGCAAATAGGATATACAAAGCCATGTACTATGGTACTGCTCTTATTGTTCGTGGCTACCATATCTCCAAGCAAGAAAGGTATCCGTTCTGTCTAGGAAGATGGAGCAAATAAGAATCATGGCAAATGAACTAACTGCCAGAGTGATAAAGAGTGCTGTAAATCGCTGCTGGGTGATCTCCTTCTAACAATGGTGAGCGATTAATTTTGGAGCGGGGAGATGAAGTCTGTGATATCGTCCTCATCTTTTTCTTTTCTCTTTTTTGTGGCATCTACGTGCAAGCCATAAGCTTTGACTTGACGGCATCACTGCTCAATGTCAGCATACATGCCGTCGTTAAACTTCTCAAAAATCTAAAGATTTTTCTATTGTCAGACTATCATGTAACTACCGAGGAAAATAAGAAAGAGGGGAGAAGAACAGAAAAGAAAACAGGCTTTTTATGCCGCAAACCTCCTGTGCACGGAGATTTCCATCACCTTCATTGTCTCTGATAGTTAAATATCCAGAATACTAATAAAGCAGTAGGAATCTATACATTACATACTTCGCTACGCCGGATTGTATGCACTGTAAGCACAGTCTCTGAAGCTTCTCAGATTCCTGCTACTCCGTTGCTTTGTTTTTGGTGTTTTCTCCATCCAAGTATAACAACTAATGCGGGAATGCGTAGTGTCTGTCTAGACAAAGGAAAGGAATCAAAATTGGTGCAGATCAAGTAAGATAGATAGGCTTCTTCACAGCAGAAAAAATAGAGGATATCTCACCTAAGGATGACCAGGGTGTTGGTCAACACCAGATTTCCGGGTCTGTGCAGTTGGGATCGCCTCTCTTGCAGCTCTCGCAACAGGACCATTGCCGGGCTTCTGGAGGAGGAGTACTACTAGTGAAGCTGGGACTGGCACTGCCATTGTGCCAGTACTCGCAATAAAAAGGGTGGCGATCGTCAAGACTGTAGCAGCAACAGCCTTCATTTTGTCGAGCACAACGGTGAAGAAAAACGACAGTAGGACATAGGTAGTTGTTAATATGTACAGTGGATTACATATATTATCCATACGAACGAGTTAGTTGAGCTGAAGATCGACAACAGAGCTGATGTAACCCTGTTTCATCAGGTAAGACGTTCGTTGATCAATATACATTCTGGACCCCACTGCGAGAATCATTGGCAACACTGCTATTCCGTATGGAGTAGTACGCTGGGCGTCTGTCTTTGGGCTTGGGGGCTCCCTGATTGGCTCTAGCACAAGACATTTGACAGGCGACCAAGTCTCTGCACGAGGATTTGACGTCGATCCAAGGCCTGTTTGTCGTTTGGTGGATTCCATGTACGAGGGGGCGGGAAAGGATCGAGATAGTCAACCAAACAATACAATACGGACAAGTTCCCTGACAATGTCGCCTGGATGCAAAGACACCGTAATCATCAAGATAATAACCGAGGTGAGTGATATGAACTCTCTAATGGCTCTCGTCTATTTCTGGCTACATCTATTTGAGCACTGCTTGAACCGCTCCGTAGTCGGTGCCGGGAGCCGTGTATGTCTTCTCCAGCTTTAGGCCAGCTGCATCCAGAAGCTGCTGCCACTGCTTCTCCGTGCGCTGAGCCCCTGTCATCGTCATCATGACCAGGTCGGTCGACGCCGTCTCCATGCTGGCTCCAACCGGCGGGACAACAAATTCCGCAATGACAATTCGCGACTTGCCGGGCTCCATCGCCACCGCCGTGTTCTTCAGAATCTCGACGCAGATGTGGTCGGGCCAGTTGTGCAACACACGCCGCAGGTAGTAAATATATGCTCCTAAAAAGCGAGGGACCGTCAGCTACTCGCCGCGATGTCTGCGGATAACTCCTGTACATCACCTTTGATGGGCTGCGGCTCGAAGAAGTTGTATTCGCACTTCTCGATTCGGAAATCGGACAGGTCGTCGGTCTCCGCAAGCACCACCGGACGGTCCTGCAGGACCAGGCGACCCGGCACATCAGAGATCAGCTGGTGGATCCTTTGCAGGCAGTGTCCTTTGCCGCCTCCGATATCTACCACCAGTACACTGTCGTCGCTCGTCTGGTATTGACTCAACAGGGCCCGGAAATCCATAATGTCGACCGACCACATGCTCGACTCGGACTGCGCTGCCATACCGAGGTTCAGGGCTTTCACCCGTTCGGGGTATTGCGCCATGTGCTCAAAGACCGTTTTCCCCCCGGTCTGGTGTCCGTACGTGTATGGGCTGTTTCTCTCCTGAGAAGGGTTCTTCCACCCCGAGGTAGCAAAGAACTCGGGGAGCTTGACCCACGGGAGGAGGATATTATCCGTCCTACCAAAAGAACGCTTTCAGTCAGAAAAAAAAAGCCTGAAGGCAAGGACTATGTCTGTGCTGTACACACGTACCAAAGAGTGAACATTCCTCGAGCATGCGGGGACAAAAAGATTTCCGAGAATGGGGTATGGGCGTATTCTTCCTCGGCCACCTCTTTAAAAGGACCGACGACGGTCACAGCCCTCATCAGACGAACTAGAAAAGACGCCGTCAGAGACGGTATTTCGATTTTAGGATCGGAACCAAAAGTTTACCGAGCAATTCTTTGTCAACGTTGAGGGCTTCCGCGAGCTTGGTGGCGGTAATCGTGCCGTCGACTGGGATCTTCTCAAACGCTCCCATGGCGAGAAGAGTCCTAATGGCGGCGGCTTGCGCGCCCTAGATGGATTTGCATCAGAAGCCAGTTTTTTGACCATGGAATTGTCCCCCGTATACTGACTTTCTCAGAGTACTCGAATAGGGCATCCATCGGTCCACGGACCGTCTGGAGGAGCCTCGTGGCGTCCACGACTAGGGCATTGTGCGCAACCGTCAGATTCGCCTTGTCTTCAAGACGATCACTTCCATGGAAGTGCTTAGCGGCGCTCTCGTAAGAGGCCAGCTGCACTTTGACTCCCTCGAGAGCATCATGAATCGCAGCTATTCGTTGCTCAATGTCCTGTCCTGACTGCATCGTGAATCGAGAAATCTGTTGTTACTGCGCGATCAGGAAACGTAAGGTGAATGAAATAGATGGCCAAGGAAAAGGAAAAGGAGGCGGATTCATTCAGCTTTTTCTACCGTAGATAAATCGTGAGTGCCCTAGCTAGCTTGAATCCTTCCTTCTGTCCTGGAAGGATTCTTAAGTGCGATTCGAAATATCGGTTACATTATTAAAACTTATAAAACATACGGAATGTAATTGGAAGGCGTTCTAGCTATAAAGGGTATGTCGTATAAGATAAGCTATATATAGTGGTAGCAGTTGTAGCAGCTAAGATTAAAGCTAAATTTTTACTGGATTCGAACCTTCCAATGCAGCAATTGCTAAACCGCAATTGGTAATGCGGTACTCTGTAGATGATGGTAAGACACAAGTCGAGCTTCATCTTCATGTTTTGACGCGGTAGGCAGTCAGGGGGTGGGGAGGGTTACAGATCTTAAATCCCTAATGAATTAGTCCATGCAAGGAATCCCGTTTGGTAATGGTTTGGCCGGTGGAATTCCTTCGAACTAACTTGCTAGCTTGCGAGGCCTACGAATCCTGACACCTCCCTTTGCTGATAAGTTAATGTCGGACGCCCAGAAAAGGAAACTAAGAGCAAATGGTATGACTGTCACACGAATCTTAACCTAGAGGTACAGTACATGCCCTGGAACATTAACTTAAACTTCTAGTGACATCAAGACTAAGTTCATGCTATCAGAAAGCCGAGTACTTAGCATTCCGTGTAGGCTCAAGTCTCACCGAATGCCAATCTACCGTAGGGTAGTGAGCGCGCTTATCCCTGCGTTCTTGGCTGGGAGAGAGCAGAGATTGCATCGGGCTCATCAATACGGCCAGATCTATGTCTTCGAGCGGTCTATACATTGCGCCTGACGCAATCTTCCCCTTTGGCCAATCCTCATCTTTTAGAAGCTCCGACATCAAAATCTCCATCAATACAGAGTAGACTGGGCAAATTCTCCCCTGCCCTCTTTTGTTAACCCTAACCTCGTAATGGCAGCGTCGTGTCGGCTATGATTCTGCTCGTCAGACAGGAACTTGATCAAATAGCGCATCCCACCTGGGAAGGATTGTCAGCGGGTTCCAGTAACGTAATTCCCAACCGAACCGGACACCCGACCGAGCCGGACACCCCATCCAAAGTCCACGCGTTTAGGATACTGAAGCTATTCAAACAACCACCATGCCACCAAAATCGCGTCTATCGTCTCGAGACTTGGTGGAACAAGAGGGGAGGATCCAACTCGCGATCTCTGCTTTAAAAAACAACGAAATCCCAAGTGTTCGTCGTGCAGCGGAGGTTTTTAATGTGCCTAAATCTACACTTCATGACCGACTGACTGGCCACCATTTTCGAATCGAACAACGTGCCAATGGCCACAGGCTATCTCAAACTCAGGAAGATGCTTTGATACAATGGATACTATCTAGGGATTCACGTGGAGTACCTCCTAGGCCTTCCATGT